AACTACACTGTGCCTTTTAATAGGGTCACTTATATTTACCAATATCCTCAAACTCAAATGAACGTGTCCATATATGTTTTTAGTAAAACCTTTTAGTTTTAGCTTGTGTGTTGATAACAGTTGCTCTCTTATCAGTAAAATTGTTTAATTGCACTGCGACCACCGTTTAGTCTTGTAATACAAGTTAAGTATTGACATACGTTGCATGCCACTTTTAGCGCGCGAAGTGCGCGCCGCCGAAGGCAGATTTATTGCAGCGTTTGTCAGGACATGACACTCTACATTTTTCAACGAAGCGCATGAGGATTTCAACGCTTCAATTTCGAATGTTGCAGAAGCCACGAACTGTGAAAATAAAACAAGGTTTTCAGTTGAAAAGTTTGAAAAGCCAGTCAAGATTCAAGAAGGTTTTATCAAATCTGATGTATAATACAATTTGGTTTGGACACATAGTAAGACAGCACAAATATAGGTGAATTCTTCGTAGATTTACATCACTAGCCTATAAAAATAAAATCAGGTTAGACTAATGAAAGCAATTTAAAAGTTAACAACTTGAAAATTCAAAACAGATTTTAATCTGAAACTTTACAAAAGAGCTCAATGTGCTAGGTAGAATGGACAACAGAGCATAACAGTTACCGATAAGGCGTGTATTACACTTGATTGACGATGTCAATCCGTCGAGATCGTTGCTCTGCGAAGCATCGTCGAAGCAAGAATGCTAGTTTGCGCGGCGCGTCGAAGTTTGCGCGGCGCGTCGAAGCGGCGAAGTCCTCCAAGTATTACACCCAATGAATACATTAAAACACAAATCAAAATTTAGCGAGTAACTACAATCCTATTTAACCCAAAAATATTAGTTCTGAATTTTGAAATAAGAATGCTCTCTTCTCTATCAAGTGCTGTTGGTCGGACTTTTCTTACTACACCTAATTTAAAAACTCCTATAGTGAAATCAGATTTATGCACTAGAAAACAATGCATGGAAAGTGCCGACTTCTCAAATGACAATTCATTATCAATTTTAAACTTGTTTCTGTGTCCATTCATTCTGATATGAAATGGAGAAACCGTTTGGCCGAAATAGGTATCGTCTTTTAGGCTCTGGGGAAGTTTATTACAAATTTGGCATTGGGCGACATAAATTATATTGCTGTCCTTACATGTCAACCGGAAATCCAGAGTTAAAACCAAACCATTGACAGTGATGACTTCGTTGGAGTTGAACAGTTGGGGACAGGTTGCACAGCCTCTCCCGCCACAGTTTTGGCTGATGGTGATAGAATCCGTTTCGGGGCACGAACTGAGTTTTCTATTGCGCACTACTGTGTTGCCTATAGATGGCTGTTTACGTAGTGCAAACAATATCTGTACGTCTCCGCATAATTGTTTGATGTCCTCACTAGTAGAGTGGACCAACTTCCTAAGCTCAGGCTCAGTGACCTCTTTGAAAAATTTCACTGAAAAGACAACTTTGTCAGTGATTGGCTTCTTATCTTCCCTCTCATACAATTCGTGTTCTATTGACCTCAAGACTGCTTCAGGCTCTGTCTTTGTTAAGGTCCCCTCCTTGTGTCCACTTTTCATCAGGTCTTCTTTAAGTTCCATCAGGTCCTCCACACATGTGTGATCCTGCGAATTTCGCTTGATCACTCGGATCATCATTCATCTGTGAGAATACCACTGATTTAAAGACGTGGTTTGGGTGGAAAATATCGGTATTGAGGTAAAGCCTGGCATCAGTCTCTTTCTTAAATAGTCTGTAGTCTATGTTGTTGTTCTCCCCCAGGGTGAGTTCTACATCCAAGTAGTTAACTGATTTGCCAAACTGACAATCAACGAACTGAATTCCAAATCGTTTTGCGGCTTCATTTAGTTTCGACACAAAAAGATCAAATTGCCTCCTGGAGCCCTTCCAAATTCCAAATACATTGTCGATGAAGCGTCGCCAGAATAAAATAAGACTCCATAGCTGTATCATTTCAGGACAGATATTGATGAATAGCACCCAATGAAGCATGATATCAGCGACTTGACGCGAAATACAATTTCCAGTTAGGATACCCTTTTTGCCTGTGTACACATTTTCTTGAAAAGTGACAAAGGAGTTTGTGAAGATAATCTCCGTGAATGTTTTCAGGATAGCCTTTCGCTTATCAATCATAGCACTACCGTTCAGGGCATGTTCCAATGCAGACATAGCTATTTCAGGTTTTATGCTTGGATACAGACTGATCACGTCTAAAGTAAACAAGTTGATGGTGCTATATTTTGACATGTCTGCAGATTCATTAAGGTTTTTGATGTTACTGAGAAGGTCTGGTGTATCCAGGAGAAACTCCTGTTGGCAATAAATCCTACTTACATCTGTTAGGTATGGGCTAACCCACTTTTCTAGTCTGTAAAGGGGGCCTTCCTTGGTGGCATGGACAAGCCTGGTAGGGGGAACCATTTTCTCCTCAATGTATAATATGTACAATCAGTTGAATTCTGTCGTCGGAGAAACTCTGAATGCAATGAAAGATGTTGAGGAATTGAAGAGTTTTCTCATCCGATCACAAGAGTCGGTTATCAAACTGCAGAGGGAACTTCTTTAAGCCAAAGCCAATCAGTTGGAATCTGTTCAGACCACCGTAAAATTTGCTGTTCAGGACACTGTTCAAGCTGAGATCAATTAGTCATACAGTCAAGCTGTGTTAAAATCCTCGCCGAACACTACAATAACGGAGGAGAGCCTGAAAAAAGTTGTGCAGAAGGCTGTGTCAGAAGAGGATCGCAGCAGGAATGTTCTCATTTTTGTTTAAAGGAGACAGATGAAGAGAAACTATCAGACAAAGTAGACGAACTGTTTGAACAGATGGAAGTGAAACCACACTTCGAAGCTGTAAGGATTGGAAGGAAATCAGCTTACAAGACCAGACCTGCCAAAATTTTGTTATCAAATTCGAATACTGTACATCAGATTTTATTAAAATCGAAAAACCTGAAACTGAGTGAGCACCACAAAACTGTGTTCATTTCACCAGATCAGTCACCTGAGGAGCAAGCCAGACATCATCTGCTCGTTTTGGAGATGAAAGAGAAGGCAAAGAAGGATTTGAAGAGACGATATTATATCAGAAGTGGTATTATTTGTTGTGAGGACAAGATATCATAGTGAACGAGGACTTCACCGCTTCGACGCGCCGCGCAAACTAGCATTCTTGCTTCGATCGTTGCTCTGCTTCGCAGAGCAACGATCTCGACAGATTGACATCGTCAATCAAAGGATACTCGTAAATTTTTTGTTCTTATTATATAAGACCGTCGACGAGTCTAACTCGGCGCACGTCTTTGTAGTTTATAAACCTTAGGTGTGACACAATTTTTATCTTTTATTGTCAAATAAAGTACATTGGTTCTTAAATTTTTATGAGATCCCAGTTTATATATTTTTTAAAAAACTTTCTGCTCTGAGGAGGAAAAAAATTTTTGTGGAGAGCCGCTCAGACATTGTGTAAATTATTTAGGTATATTTTATGCAATTGTAGCGCGATGCGTTACTGTGCCGCGCCGCGCACTCAATAAGGCTTCTCAATAAGGCTTCTCTGGTAGTAGAGGCTCTTACGGGCATTGTCTGCTCGATACGTTAGGGACCCCAGATACACCTTACTAGACGTATTTTTGACCGTAGAATCGATTGAAAGTAGTTTCAAGATGATTGGACTGATTGTTCTGGGGTAAAATCGCAAAAAACCGATTTTTGGGCCAAAAATAGGCCAAAAAACCATGTTTTTTGATATTTTGAGCAAGTTAATTTTGTTGGCATGTCGGCAAAACTTGCATAAAGATAGCTAAAAGACAGCCGCACAAGATTGTATAAAAATAAAACAAATCCCTCTATTTGTTCTGAGGTAAAAATCCAAAAAAGTGGTAAAAATTTTGACTTTTTTGCTTTAAGTTTGAATAATTTTTTGCAGTTGTATTAAATCAACCCAAAAATAGTCACATCGTGTTTGGCTAAATTTTTCCTTTCCGAGAAGTACCCACTTCATATACTTAATCGAAGTTTGAATATTGTCACTCCGCAAGCGTTTTTGCCAAATTTTCGACGCGCACTACGCGCAAAAGCATTTAGTTGTTATCAATTGGCACCCGCGCGTTCATCATAAATTTCAAACAGCTATAACTCAGCGAGATTATGTCCGTTCTAGCTCATATTTTCACACTAAATAGAAAATAATGTGATCTTATTGCTGACAGAATATGGATATAATTACTTTATTTGCCTTAGAGTAATAGACTGTCAAAGTTTAAAACGCGCATTGGTATAGCACGTGACTAATAAGGCCAAATTTATACTTCTTAACATATTATCGATCCTTAGACATCATACTATTGTGTCCAATTAGCGGTTAGGTCTCTAAACTCGTAGCAGAAAACACGTCTTTTTGCCCGTAAGAGCCTCTACTATGGCTAGATCGGCGAAATGCGCTACTGTGCCGCGCCGAGCTGCCATGAATTGACATCGTCAATTAATTTATGCAATATCTTTGTCGCATACAACACTGCCGCGCGCAGTGTTGTGACCCCTCTTCGTCGTATTTTACACATATTTGGACGTTGGCAATTTATTCAATTGATAATTTTAAAGTTTTAACATTTTTTATATTAAATTCTTTTTTAATATAGTTCTAAAACGATTAAGCATGCTTTCTGTGAAAATTTAATGTACTTTCGTAAAATAATTTTGATGTGGCAGCGATTTGAAAAAGAAATTAGTTAAAAATGATACAAAAAAATTGGACATTTTTTGATATTAAAACATGTATAACTTGGGCTGTGTTGACAGTAGAAAAATAATTTAACCCTTGTCCGAAAGGTTTACAAAAGTTTTACGCGCCGCGCATAATTGCCGCGCAATTTCGCGTGTCAAATCCGTCTAAGAGTGAACATAATTGATGAAGGAGCACTTTGAGTTTTACACTTCGTGCGTTCACTGTTCGCGCCTTAATTGCGCCCAGTTCACTGTTGCCTCGCGTTATTCCATCATCCATATTTCTGCTCTTAGTTGCTTTATAATGTGTCAGCAGTAATCAGCCCTGCTGTATTATATATTGTGCTTGATTGTTGATACCTAATTAATTAACTGTTTACGATGGCAGTTATGGTGGATGATGATTAATCACTCTACAATCGCCTGTCACGTGACTTCTTCAACCCGTTCTGTAGATGGCCCTAAACAACTATTCGAAACCCGGAAACCATAACCCTCTAATCAGATCCCAACCCTAACGGCCTAACCCTAACCAAATCCTTTACAAAAGCATACACTGAAACACTATAGAGAAATTAGGCTAACTTCCTTATACGGTCATATCAGGTGATCGAGACAGTTTTTCGCCAATATCTCGTTAGGGGAGAATTTTAACCTTATGTCATGGGGGTAATAGGTAAGTGCTTAGTAACCTCTTTGCTTTTATTCGAGCCTTTTATTAAATCGAAGTTACAGTTCACGAGGTTGATCCTTTGGGAGATATTAAATCCTGTTTTACTATTATTTATAAATTCTAACGTTTAACTTTAATAATAATAAGTAAGTTTGGACGCAGACTAGAAACGAGTTTAATCGACTAAGTTTTTGATTTTGTGTACCTTTTTATCATACAACTTTTTAATTTCAGCAAACTTTAGTTAAAGAGTAAATCAAAGTTAGCAATCATTGAACTCAATAGTTAAAAAGGTGACTGTAAAAATAGAACTAAGATTTCGATACTTTTAAATGAACTTCTAGTTCTAATGATATAATTTTAAATTATTAGATGTTTAAATTTTCCTGATAGCTGGATCATAGTCATGTAGAAATTAGGTTAAACATTGTCATGCAGAAATTAGGTTGAAATAATTTTGTCCATAGAAAACACAGTCACGCCTTACATTATTACAAGCTTTAAAGGGCTCGTGAGTCGTGTTAGTGTTACTATTACTTTTGAGCTTGAAAGCAGACAAAACTTTGTTTATTTGCTTGTTTATTATTTTGTTTGTTATTAGAGAAAGAAGACAGTATTACCTCTCGATTATTTCAGGAGAAGCTAAAAGCGCTGAAAGACCAAGAAAGAAGCATCTCCCTGTTGAATCAGCACGCTGAAGAAGTACAGCGACTGGTGAACAAGCTGATAAACTCAGACAGCAGCAAAAACTTCAAGTGAGCTTCGTGACGTCATTGACATAACCGTCGTTGTGACGTCATTTTCGATGTTGATCGAATGAATTTATTTGTATTCTAGAGATTCTATTATAGCATTTGACAAGTAACAACTTTGGCTATGTTTACTGTGCTGTAATGCACTGAACGACCGGGATTCCCGGCGCCGGGGGAGGTGTTTATTCCCGGCCCCGGCCAATTTTGAGTTTTTGGCCGGGATCGGAATTATAGATTAAAAATTCACATAAGAACATAAAAACTACTGTCTTATTTGACCCACAATTCATACTTACATTTACAACTTATCTTATATTGGTAAGGGATCAATTAGCCGAAGTTAAAATGGAAAGTGCCAGTTTTAATTTAAAGTCTGAAGCACTGAGCGTGAAAAGTGATATTAAAATGGACTCTAATTCTAAAAGTGCCTGTGTCTTCATACTATGGTGTTCCGCCTCACTTCTATACTACTATAATCGAGCAGGACTTGACAAGCCCACTAAAACAAGTTGTGTAAAAAATACCACCAGTTCACGGCCCAACCACATTGTTTATTTGTACACCCAGTGAATTATTCCTTATATGGCGCGGAACATTCCTGGCCTAACGTGTGTGACGTGTTTCTCCGCACTATCAGTTGACTACCATTCATGTAGTTGACTGCCACTGTACTCGCATTTATGTGTTACTTGTTTTTACGTGTTTGATTTAAATTGCTCGTGATTAGAGTTAGACACACGTTCGGTGAAAGGGGAGGGGATAGTTTTCACTTTTCAGACAAGGGAAGGGGCAAGGAAACGTGTGATTACTTGATTATTGATTTTTCACGTTTTAAGTTAATCTCGACACGTGTTCAGTAATTATGTGTTTTATAAATACCCTTATACTGTTTACACTTTTTAAATCCCTTTAAAGCCAACAATATAATCCACGAAACAGACTCCTGGCACTAATTTCAGGATCTAAAATAGGCCCGGGCTTTTTTAAAAGTTACTGACATCACGCTGGTCCTCACTTTTTGGAGTCTACTCCCTCATTTCCAGGTTAGTGCACTATTAGTGGGGAGGAGGTGTATTAACTTTATCAGTCACGTAACCTCATGACACTCCCCATCACGGGTAACTTGTAATGGTAACGTTGTCATGGTAACAGAAATGTGTTTTCAGGCTGAACAGGAAGCTGTACAACAACCGGCCTGACAAGTTACCGGTCTGACAAGTTACAAGTGGTGGACCTACATCATCTAGATGTACAGGTTCGTTCATTTACTGATTGATAGCTATTTTAATGAACTTATTTGTTTAGATTTATGACGTGTTTCTCAATTGACAATTTTATACCCTCGAGATAATACAAAATTCTATGAAGGATACATTTTTAATGTTCAATTACATAAATGACAAACTTAAGTTGACTAAATCGCTGCCTGTATTTGGATTATTTAAAAAAATCAATTTGGTGTGACCACAGTACCATAAGTCGCACTTAGCATAAAACCTGTGAGCGAATCACCATACTTGAAGAGTGTGTGCCAGCTCATGTCCGTCTTCATAACCTCTTCCCTCCACTGTCCCCATCTTGACTGCATCTCAAGAGAGCCGCATTGAACTTCCCTTTCATGCTCGAGGTTTCTTTTAACTCTCTGAAGGACCTCAGCTTGTTGTTCCCGGGCGTTCATCTTCTTCCACGGTTTCTTCCATTCTCCAAAACCAATCCTTGCCCTGCTGTACGACCATTCCTCTCACCGCTTCACAGACTAAGTCCCTCTCAGCACAATCTAGTTCCTTGTCTGGTCTCCAAACTCTCCCTGACCTGACTTGCGGTTGAATCGCCCTTATCATGTCATCAAAAAACTGCTGGTAGGACTGATGGAGTCGACATTTCTCCAGCTTCCAAGTCGTGCTAGCCCTTAAATGGGTCATAACTTGGCCAAATTGTGTAATCAACTTGAAATTTTGGGAATCACTTAAATTATTATACCAAATGTGTCTGTCAACTTTGGAGTTCCTAGTATAAAGTGTTGTCATTTTATGGCGACAATAATTAAAACTAAAAGGAGAGAGTGACGTGCCACACCCTCTGAAATCAATGAAATTTGGCGAAACTTTCAGAAATACTAAGTTTGACCCGCATGTGAAGGTCGCTAAACTAAATGTAATATTTCAGGTACAAATTCTACTAGTACGATTCGATGCAGTGGAAGAGGTTGAAGTTGACGTTTAAGCAGTCACCCTGCCGAACAAGAAATCAGTCAGGCAAAGAGGCTAGGTTGACTAGAAACTCAATCACTATATCCGTGAAACTTGCTGGAAGCTATGTGAGTTATTTTACCTCCTTATTTCAAATGACCTCCAAACCAATTACATTGAACTTTGAAGAGGTGAAGAAACCAAAAATATTAACTGAATTAAATGCGACTATAAAACCGAAATAGTAATACACTGCTGACTACAAAGAAACATCTTACATGGGGCCAGGCTCATATAAGTGTTCATATGTTAGTGTTCATAGCCGTTGAAAATATGGCGGAATGACAGGCTGAATGTGGCCCAGTAGAAGAAAAAAACATTATAATTCTTTCCGACCATAATAGAAATACAATTAAACTAGAATGAAACAAAGAGTATTAAATTTTTAAATTAGTCGAGTCAACTAAATTTCACAGAGAAGCTGGACATTTATACGACAATTTAAACGCAATGTGTATGCGCCGTGATCAATGGTCACGGCGCATAACCATTGCGCCGTGACCGTTGATCACGGCGCATAACCCGTAAGATGCTGCGCACATTTTTGATTTTAAAATGGCGGGATTTCAACTGCCATTGTTATACGATACATTGAAGTGCATAGTGGAGTGTGTGGTCTGATAGTAGACAGAGGATTTATTTGAAACATTCCCGGTGCCTTCAACTGTTCTTTGCACTGACTATTTGATTGCTTAAACGAATAGGCGAGCCTTCAAAAATATTAGTTTCAATGTTTTCATAGTTTTATGATGCAAATATGATTTTTCCATTTACTTAACTGATAATACCCCCAATATCTTTTCAGGTGTGGAGGTCGGACCGAAACTGTAATCAGACACTAAACATTAACGAGGACCAATTATTTTACTCCTTTAATGATGAATAAAGATCGCTGATTGCTTTTACTGATATATAGTGTTAAAATGAAAGAGAAACTGTTGAGACGAAAGAGAAAAACGCACTCATTTATTTATAGTTTTATGTCTTAACAATGTTATTCGAAAGCTAATTTTAAAAGCTGGCTCTGAATCCTTGCTAAATGATTTGGGAAGGTGTAAGGGCTAAATATGCCTGTAGACATCATTTTCAGTGGGTTTTATGAAGTTTATGATTAGGGTATATTTTGGGACTGAAATAAGCGCAAGACCTTCGACGTTTCTATTCCTACTGTTTTTTTAATTTAGCAAATATACAAAAAAAATTATACTGTCGTAAAGATAAAATGTTTAGTTATCGGATAGATACTTTAAAATTAAGTGTTAAAATAACCGAGCTAAGATATTCAATGTTAAACTCAAAAATGTTCACGCGTTTATGAAGAAATATTTAATTCTGCGCGTAGTTTTTTGGTCACAACTATGGCAAATTTTTACCAATTTTGTTCATAATTTCAAAATGTTATTTAGTAGACAAATTACTTTCGGACTAAATCCTTATTGTTTATTCAAATCTAAAAGAAACAACATTTATTTGACTTCAAAATTGTTCAATCTGAATACGAGCTAATTACGACGAAGGGAGGTCACAACACTGCGCGCAGGAGTGTACAAGCGGGGTAGTAAATATTGTGTTTCGTTTTGTTTCGAATAACTTCACTGATATGATACAAGTAGGGGGTGCACGATAAAATAAACTTGCTCGGATTTTAAACATTTTTGTACCAACTACCATTGTTTTCTTTGTATCACGTGGTGACCCCCACTGTCGCTTCACTATAGTGTATCGTCTTCGACGATATAGGGGGAGCCGCGCACTTCGTGCGCGGCGGGTCATACAACGTATGACAATGTTTTCTAGAGACTGTGAGAATTTTCACAATACCAAATTTTTCATACCTTTCTGGAAAAATCAGTGAGTTTCGCTTAGGTGCCATATTTGATGCTGCGCGGTTTTTTGAGCAAAAATAGCTGTGAAAGTCGCGTAATTTGACCAAATTCGTTAATTTTTGTCGTATTATTCGAATATATCTTCGGTTCCTTGAATGCGATCATTCTGAAAATTGGCGACAACCTTCCAATAGGGCTTTCACAACTGTCCGAAAAATTTGGTGGATATCGGAGTTGATATAGTAATAAAAATGTGGCAAAACACGCTGCTTTTAGCTGTAACATAATGTTTGCTCTATCCAGAGCCCTTGCGCTTGCAGTAGCGCGCGCCCGCCTCACGGCGGTAAAAAGGGCTCTAGCCATGAACCCACCCAACAATTTTGGCACCACTGTACAGTGGTGCCAAAATTACCCGCGCTTTTGTCCTCATATCCGACGCCGCGCGTGTCGTTTTAGTCATTTCACATTTGTTAGCCGATTTGAATAATTTGTGTTCGCCAAATTTCTCGTTGGATAAGATTTGAGATTAATATTATCAAATTTTCAGAAAGCTCAGTTAGTTGTACTGCATTGTTTTCCTTATACTGCCGAATGCCCATGATTCTCGAAAACACTCAAACTTTTTATTCTTGTTAAATTCTTTTGTGTTAAATTATAGATACTATACTCCAGAAGATTTTAAAATGAGCTACCACCTTTGTCATTGGTCATTGCATCTCATATTTTTAGGGTTGCCAAGATATGCATTGTTTTCAATAGCATTTTGTACTGCCTACTTTTCGTTTCATTGACTGTGGCCACGTAGTCTAATTAAAGTAACTACTTCGTCCTCACCTCAATAAATTATATCAGTTTTAGCTACAATATGTCCACAATTGTCCACCTATACAATGACCATGTTCTTCAATCTTCCTGCTGGCACTTATTTTGGTCTGAACATCCTGTGGTAAGTTAATTTAATTTTGCAAAAAACAAACTGCAGCTAGTGTGTCGATAGAAATTCACCGATTAAGTTTGATGTTTGATTATCTTCCCGAATAAAATATCTTATTGATTGAATAGTAGTACAATGAATACGCTGGTAAGTGAGCCCTGTAGCGACGAACCTGTTTCTTCGGATAGCGAAATGTAATGTCGACTACTTCATCTGACAATGGTTTCCCGTTTTATAAAGAAAATATTACCTTTGAAGCGGTCTCGAACTTCCTACTCTCCCTCCTCTCGTCAGCTAGACAGTGTCCTATTATTTCTCTTGTGTTAATTTTGTGATAAATTCTTTCATGAGACCATCTGAGTTTTTGTCTTTTTTAGTAGTAGACGCCACCGAGAATGAAGACTATTTAGTAGCGGGGTAATGAATTTTTGTCTCATATAAATATAAGTAACATAGTAGTAGATATTTGTTTATTGATATAATTTGATCGTGAATTTTGATTGTTTGTATTATTATAAATCAAGAGGCTTGCATATAATGAACATATTGACACGGGTGCAGAGTTGAGTCTGTACGGAACCTAGTAGTTTCAGATCCTTGTTTAACTTGCCGTACAGCAAGGTCATCCACTACTTTAGCCCGGCGAGGCACATAACTCCCTCTACAACTCCATGAAAAATGTTTCATATATACTAGCCGAGTTCACAAGTTATATCCTTGTGTTTGAGAAGAGCTCGTTAGAACTGCTTCCTTTCCCTTCAGTATCCCACAGTCTCTCGAGTTTCGTCACTGCCAGAGAACTCTCTTAAACAATTACTAGACTCGGTGATTATAAATCAAGAGGCTTGCATATAATGAACATATTGACACGGGTAGGGTGCAGAGTTGAGTCTGTACGGAACCTAGTAGTTTCAGATCCTTCAGACAAGTTATATCCTTGTGTTTGAGAAGAGCTCGTTAGAACTGCTTCCTTTCCCTTCAGTATCCCACAATTCTTTTATTTTATTCGGTTAAAAGTGAATACTACAAAATTAAAATGAACATGAGGCATTTATCATAGCCTCCGATTGAAGTATTCGATCATCACACCACGTACGTCACCTGAGCTATAGGGCCTGTCGTGATATTATGAATCGCTTAGGTAGACCTCATAATTATGCGGCCTCTATCATGTATCGTCATCTCTCACAACTCTTTAAGAATCTTGTGAATTTGGCATGTAAAAATGTGTAGCCTTCCAGACATTGATAGCGTAAACGAGGTGTCGTACGTCACCTCAAGATCGGGTGACAGGGGGCTGACCATGCCCGAACCTAATTGATTGGGTCTGAGGTCACGTGATTATTAGCCTATGAGGTCACGTGACTATGACGTCAGCAGACCTTGTCCTCCGTTTCCCGCTCATTGGACCAAAGCTTGCATGCTTGTGAATGTAGGTGTAAGTACAGCTGTACTGTAGTTTAAACCTAATTAACCCCTATACACTATAGAAATCCGAAAATTTATTTCTGGCAGAAAGCTAGAAATTTACCAAATTTATTGACATTGTTATAGCGTATGTCAGCCCTTGTGGATTAGCTGTCTTAACTGAAAAGTGGTTACTGGAGGGACAAGTGCCAAGACTACCTGCGCTACATCGACACTGTTGTCAGCACTGCGCGCGCGCGCACGAACCTTCCCATCGGGGTTCGTGGATAGGTGCTTTTCTTGACTTGTGAAACAAGCGTGCCCGCAGTGGCGCGAAAGCACATGGTTAGGTGAAACATAATGTTTGATGGTTGGACATGCTTTAAATTTTTCGGACACTTTCCTTGTAAGTCTATGAGTTAGCTTACCAATTTTTGGTGCAATCGGAGGTCGGGAAGGATACTCAATATCTATTTGTTTGAAGAAAATTGTGCTGGCCGAAATTAGCGCTAAAAAACCATCCTACAGTCGGCACGCGCGGCTCACTATCGATGGCACACTACCTAATATGTAATATAGGGCCGGGCCGGGGGAGCCGCGCACTCGTGCGCGCGGCGGGTCATATAACGTATGACAAGCCGAATCCTGGCCGGTTCAGTGCGGAAAGCTGGGCATTCAACACTTTAGACAGTCTGATATATTTGTTTTAGTCAATAAGGGAAAAATTATCCTAAAAGAGGCATGGAGGCAGAAGCAAGAGCAAAGGCCTACTAGACTAAAGAGACGACAGTTTACACTTTTCAATGACACAACTCTTTTGTCTTTTGTTTTATTTGATGCATTTAATTTAAAGTGAAATTTAAATTGAAGGAACAATCGAAATTGTCCTTAATTAGTACTAGGATTTATTTGTTACTTATTTTTTATTTATATAACTTTATTCAAATCAAAAATAGAACATAAAGAACATCTTGATGACCTGATAAGTCACCAAGAGAAAAATAACACAGAATAAACTAAATCATGCTTAACTCTCTCCATGCTTTTCTATCTGTCGCTAAAAATCTTAAATGGTATAAATCGTCTGTATTTACAAGTCTAAAGTTTCTATCACTTAAATCGTTCAAAATAGTTTTTAACAAGTTTGACTGGTGTCGTCCGACTCTACCTCGTATCAAACTCTGACTCTCTACAGCAAAATGTAAGGCAAGCTGGGCAGGTGAGTTATTATCACTGCGGAGGATGTGACCGAGCATTCTCCACCGTGCACGAGCAACACGCTCACTTAGTGGTACAACTTCGCAGCGTTTGTATAGAGTCACATTTCGTATGACATTAGGGTAGGTCATGCCGATGATCGTACGGAGATGATTCCTGTGGCAGACATCAAGTTTTTGAAGGAGTTGTTTAGATGTTGCCCAACTGTTGCAATTATACATCAGTATTGAAACAACTTGTGCTTCATATATCTTGAGTCGAATCTTCAAGGGTATACGTCTACCTTGTTCCCAGACTTTTTTGTAGTTCTGAAAAGCAATGTTAGCAAGTATACATCGTCTCTTGACATCTTCGATGCTACACAACTTAGAGCCTAAAGAGATAGATGACCTCCAAGGTTCTCTACCTCTGAGTGTTTCTCCTTTGTTATCAACCTCGTTCTTGCCGGCCAGATAGAAATGGGTGAACTCGGTTTTTGACTCATTGACAAAAAGATTCCACTCTTCCAATATCTCTTTACATATTGGCAACAAAGACTCCAAATTGCTTTTATCCTCATCAGTAAAATCAACATCATCTGCGTACTCCCACTCGAGGGGTAACAGATTCTCAGCTATGGGAGGGTTAGGTCTTAGATAGGACATAACAGCACGCAGGTGGTAAAGTGCTGCTGCCAGATATAGAGTGAACAAGTTTCCAGACAAACTGTCGCCTTGAAAAGCTCCAATCGTGACAATAAACTCTCCCGATATTGTTGAGTTCACTTTGATCTTCAGTTTAGTATTTGCGAGCAAATACCTTACCAGTCGAATGTCATCCTCACTACAACCAGCATCAGCTAAAATGTCAAGTAATACCGACCTCTTTATGGTATCAAAAGCAGAGGACATGTCAATGCCCATCTTATGAAGAGACCAGCGTTTTTCCTTGACAACTGATACTAGTATTCGCTGGGTCCAAACGATATTTGCACAACTATGGCCAGGTTTATAGGCATTCTGCCAAGGACCAGTGTACTGAGATACTTGCCTTTGGATGCGCTTTAAGACTATCATGGACAATATCTTTCTAGTACCGTTAAGTAGGCAAAGTGGGCGCAAACTCTTAGGGGGGCCTAGTGGCTTTCCAGGTTTTTGGAGCGGAGTAAGGTATCCCTCTGT